CCTCGTCCCCTGGGGGTCCGAGCCCTGACTCCCGGACCTTTAGGGTTGGCCCCTCGAAGACACCTTCAATGCTAGTTAGGTATCCAGGAGTCTCCGAAGCAAATCTCTAAAGGGCCAGATGGGAGCAGGGGGTGAAGGGTTCAAGGGGGGCAAGAGTCTCTCCTGCCCATGCTTCCTGCAACAGGTGGAATTCAGCAGGCCAAGGGCGTCAAACTGTCTAGCAACTTCCTCCCACCCTCACTGCACTTTCTCAAAGGGACTGGCCGTGTCTCTAAGGGCAAGGTCAAGCGAAGGCCCGAGAGCTGGAGCTCAGAGGCCCCAAGCCGATCGGAGGAAGCGTGAGCATAGGCTGCCCAGCTGGTTGGCCACAGACCCTACATCACAATCACAGTTACTGGAATCCCCAACTCCTCCCCTCACCAGTCCACCAGGCCCCAGCCACCCAGAGGCCCAGGCTAGGAGGGCAGCGGTGCCTAGGTGGGTGGGCACTGTGGAGGGGTGGGCCTGAGCCTAGGCAGGTGGGGCCAAACAGCTCCAAGCGCAGGACACAGGCCAAGCCGGGTGCACGTATCAGGGCCACGGCAGCCCTTGGGTACCTTGATCTCCGGCACCACGATCCTCGTCTCAGGGTTCTTATCCAGCATGCGGGTGATCAGGCCCTTCAAGTCCTCAGCTACGTCGGGCCTGGGGAAGACACGTCGGGGTGAGAGACAGCAGTGGAGGACGTGGAGAGGGAGGTGGACGTGGGACGGACGGCAGTACTCACTGGTCTGGAAACTCCAGGGCCTGGCTCTTGATCTTGCTGTGTAAACACATGATCCGCTCGTCCATGAACGGGCACTGCGGAGAGAGGCCAGGGACAGAATGGTCAATGGCAGCCACGGCCATCCTTTAGCGAGGGAGCAGTTCCCACCCCCAGGTTCTAGAAGGCCCAGGAACGCCCTTCCAAAAGGCTTAGAGCACTGCCCAACCACACTGCAGCCTTCCTCAGGGGCTGTGCTTCAGTTTACCTATTTTTACCAAAGCAAGGCCTCTTCTCGCCCACCTGCCAGATGAACAATAATAGTATCTAGAACAAGAAAGCTGAAGTAGCAGCTGCAATGACCTGCAGGGCTGAGCCTGTGCCAGGCCCTGTGCTAAGGGTTTTCACGGCTCCCATTTCACTGGCTGTTCCCTCTGCCTAGCATGTTCTTCCTGCTGCTTTCTCCCTTCATTCACATCTCTGCCCGAAGTTCACCCTCTCAGAGAGGCCCTCCCCAGCACACTGTCTAATAGAGACCCCCAACCCCACCATGTTATTTCTTATCACAGCAGGTATCCCTGACAGTATATCACCTATTTTCATATCTTTCATATTTACTGTGCATTTTATATATTATTTATTTACATGTTTAACCTATATGGCATATTTATTGTCACATATTTTATATACATTACATATTAATTTGTTTATTGTTTAATTCCTCCAATCTCAAGAAGGCAGGAATTTCTCTCTGTCTTGCTCATGGCTAACTCCCCAGTGCCTAGAAAAACTCCTAACACAAAGTAGGTGCTCAATAAATACCTGCTGAGTTAAGGAATATTTATTTCTGTTGATCCTTGCAGAAGCCATCAGAACTAATCATTATTATTCTCATTTACAGAACAGAAAACAGAAACTCAAAAAGGTGAGGGGTCGTGGGAAGAGAGGAAGCTGGGACTGAAACTCATTCCTTTCTCTACCTCCCAGGTGACAGATGGATGCTCACACCCAGCAGAGGGGCAGAGCCAGGTGGAGCTCAGGTACATGTGCTGGAAGAACGGACCTTTCCGTGGGGTGCTCACAGGGTCAGGAAAGGTCGCAGAGAGCCACCTGGTCCACCTCTGCCCAAGTAAAACCATTTCATTTGAAAGCACAGTAGCTTGAGCCAGGCATTTAGGTTGCAGAGGTGTCTCCTGGACAGAAATCACCGAAAAGGATAGTGTGCATTTCGTTCTACGATAAATTTTATGTCAAAAGGAAAAACAAACAAACAAACAAACACTGAACTATAGCTAATGATATGTCAACAATTTACCCTGGAACAAAAAAATAAGGTGGACTGATGGATGGATAGGGGGAGCGATAGATGGATAGACAAGTGATAAAGTACAGTAAATGTTATAGAAGAATCCAGGCGGTGGGTACCTGGTGTTTCTTCTCATATTCTCTCAACTTCGCTGCATGTTGACTATTTTCTAATCAAATGTTGGGAGTAAAAAAGCACAGTGACTTCTGCTGTTATAAATGCCTTTCCTTCCTCATGGGACCAGTTTCTTAAGCTTTCCTCAATAGGGGCGCAAGCTCATGAAAGGGAAAATCCACACTTTCATTGCTTATGAAATCAACTGACCTGTAGAGTTAAAAATAGAAGTCCCTAAGTATTAACAGGAGGCCTGGTGGCACAGTGGTTAAGAGCTCAGCTGCTAACCAAAAGGTCAGCAGTTCAAATCCACCAGCCGCTCCTTGGAAACCCTATGAGGCAGTTCTACTCTGTCCTGTAGAGTCACTATAAATCGGAATTGACTCAACGGCAATGGGTTTTAAGTATTAATAATACCAAAACAACAACAACAACAAAAAGACAAAACAGTACTCCCTAAATGAGTAATGCCAAGTGGCTCTTGACTTCCATTCCAATTCTATCCCTCTGACAATAGCTTCCAGGAACACTGTGTTGAGAAGAACGCTGAAGTAGGACCAGACCTAGCAGGAAAGAGTGCAGCTATCGACTAGTGATGTCTGTCTCAGGCTCAGGAGTCCTGAGAGGTGCCACGTTTGCTGTCCTTGCTTTAAATGCATCAATTATTTACAAACTCTAGAGCCACTGCCAAGCCTTCTGTTTACACAGAATTTTTTTCCACAGATATGATCATCATATACAAATGTAAATATTTGGAAAGGCATACATTTTCACTTTCAGTTCTAGCTGTGGAAATAAGATGACATAACTTTCAAATGAGTACATAATGTCTCCCCACAAGGGTGATTACTGATAGCCAGCTCTAATCCAGGGTTCCACCCAACAGCATTTAGGGAACAGGACACCCCACCCCGTTACCTGGCCAAAGACAAAGCAGTACAGGGTCACACCCATGGCCCAAACATCCAAGGCCTGAAAGAAAAAGAGCTTAGTCTGAGGGCGAAAAGGGACAGTGAAGGACATCTACTGCTTTTGCCTGGCCAGCATCCAATCTTTCAGTTTTCCTTGACTCTTCTTGACTCTCATCCATGAAGTTGGCACAGGGCTGAGCCTGCCCCCTGACTTCTGGGGTGGCCACATGATCCAGGCTGGCCAATGAAAGCCTCATATCACCTAGGTACAGTGACTGGTTCAAGGATGGGCATATGACCCAAGCTGGGCCAATTAGAGCCAACCCCAGGATTTTTGCCAAAACTATTCACTGAGGCTGGTAAACTGATAGAAAGTAGCCTAGAGCTGCTGGTGACTGACCTATCTGCTGATGAAACCAGTACAGGAAAACAGCTGGGAGGAGAAAGACCAATTCCTGTTTGAGTCCCTGTGTCTAGCCAAGCCCAAAGCCAACCATACCCCACTCCTCAACTATAAGCCAACAGATTCACTGTTCACGCCAGTCTGAGCTGGATTTTTGCCGCTTACAACCAACGAAACCCTAACCCAGGCAGAACTCAACGTCTCAGGAGGTCCAACCCACATTCCGACCCCATCAGCCCAGGTACCTTCCCCGAGAAGATCTTCCGGGTCTCTGAGAGCGACTCAGGAGCCATGAAGGCAGGCGTGCCCACGGTGTTCGAGAGGAGCGCGTCGTTGCCCTTGAACTCGTTGCTGACGCCAAAGTCAGCGATCTTGATGTGTCCGTCTTCGCCAACCAGGAGGTTGGAAGGTTTGATGTCCCGGTGGATGATCTTCTGGTAGTGTACTGGGTGGGAGGGGAGATACCAAATGGGAGGGCGTAGGAAAGCCACATAAGGATCTCCCCGTGGCCCTCCCAGTCCAGAGACACAGCCTGGCATACTCTGGTACTATGTCTCCCATGGTCTCAGGCCCTTCCCAGCCTACCCTCCCCACAACCTGCTGGGCACCCACATGAAAGACAAGGGAGACAGTGTCTTTAAGAAGCTCTGCCCCCTTAAAGATGAGGAGTGAAATACCAACTGCCAATAGCAATTAGTAACAGCCTCCTGCTATTGGCTAAATCACAGGTAACAGTGCATGGAAAGTTTGTGCTGAGCTTGGCTCCCCGCAAGGAGCCTCGAAACTTGTGATAGTCAAATATATTTTCATTTACCAAGGGCCACATTCAACCCATTCACCAAGCCAACAATGAATGGAGCAGGTTGATTTGAAGTGTGAATAAGGCAGAATTGGGGACTTGGCTAACTGTTCCTGCCCAGACATCAGGCAGTGGTAGGGGACAATCCTGCTGTGACAGCTAATTCTATGTATCAACTTGGCTAGGCGACAGTACCCAGCTGTTTGGTCAAACACTTGTCTAGCTGCTGTGATGAAGTAGTTACTACACGCGATGAAATCAATTGGCCTTAAGTAAACCAGATCACCCTCCATAATGCAGGTGGGCCTTATCCAATCAGCTGAAGACCTTAAGAGCTAAAAGAAAGTTTTCCCTAGGGCATGTTCTGCCGCCAGACTATAAACAGACATTTTGGCAGAACTGCTCCACTCTTCACTCTTCTTGTCGCCTGACCCGTTGGTTTTGGGGCACAAGACTGCAGGAATCTCTAGCCTGTCATCTGGATTTTGGACTTCCCAGCCCCCCACAATAGTGAGTGTGAGCAAATTCCTTAACATAAATTTATATCTGTATTTAAGTTGTTATTGTTAGCTGCTGTCGAGTCTACTCAGACTCACGGGGATCTTATGTAAAACAGAATGAAACATCGTCCAGTCCTGCGCCATCTTCATGAATGTTGGTATGTTTGAGTCCACTGCTGTGGCTATTATGTATCTGT